AGGGAAAGACCAAAAGTAACAAGTTTGCATTAAGCTCATTCAGCTTAATTCACCAAGCCAAAACAATACCAGTAGGAAGAGGACAGAATACAACTACTGAAAAACACATTTTAAGAAGTGTTTTCCCTGTAGATGTTCTTAAATCTTTTAAATAATACAGAAATTCAACAAAAAGGAATTGCAATGACACTACTGTCAGTCTTCCATGCTATCGGCCACGTAGCTACCAAAAATGCTTCTCATCTATTGTACCCTAATGCTTACATTTACTTAGGAAAAGCCTGTCCCTATTCTACAGCTTGTATATTTTTACAAGTTCAGTTAATTGCTTTGATAGCATTCTTTCCACGTTTACAGATAAATGAGTTTTTTCTCAAAACCTTTCACTGTTCTAAGATGCGTGGCTTGAATGTTATGCTAGAGAGAGCGTTCTCTGACATTTTCAGCATTGCAGACACACATAATTTCTAAAAATTAAATTTAACACATTTTAATTTTGAAATATAATTTACTTGTTTAAGGTTTAATTTGGATTTTATCCATTAAGCTACTGCACAGCAGCTCTGTTATCACAAAACTTCTGCTTAGCTCACTTGACTTCAGTGTCTTCCCTTCACTCAGGTAATTAATACTCTTGATGGACTTGATGCAGAAAAAGGTCTCTGAGACACTGGACATAATCCCATAACATCTACTAAGGCAACTAAGCCAACTGCCTTTTTTTTTAGTTTGAGTAAGATCAACAAGCACTTAAACAAAGAAAATAAAAAAATATACTGTTTGAAACATTAAGCACTGTTTTCATTCTTTTGTGAGAAAAAGAAACATCAAAAATTAAACCCCTAGCAAATACATATACTGTATTTTAGCAATCACACGCCCTCTAAAGCTACGAATGGTACCTGCACATTCCTAATAAGATAACTGCCTGAACGAAAGTTAACTACTTATCAGCTAACAACAATACACCAAATTATTCTGTCTTGATTACAAGAAATGGAATTAATAGTATTTATATTATTATGCATTTTCTTTTCAATTCTAGCCTAAAAGCACATTTCTCTAAATATTTTAAACCTTTAAACAAAAAGCAAATGTCTGACACTATCGTAAGATTAACTTGAAGTATGTCAAGTCACTGTTTCTTAAACAATGTCAGTGCTGGAGACAGTAAAACTACAGATTTATGAATTAGGCCAGAGTTACTCTACAAGTCGTACTGCTTACTAACATGTAAAGTCATCTAGATATGTGTATTTTAATATTTAAATGAACACAAGTATATTGAATTTGCAGAAAAACAGCATACTTCATGATTCTATTCCTTCCAAATTTTTGCTTCTCCATTATGGAGAGTGCAGTAGTATTCTATGATACTGCAGAAAGAAGGAACTTTGCCTTTACTTCATAGTAAGTACTACTTAATATCACAAAGTCATCCTGGACATTGCAGATTGGTTCCCCTTAGGAATAGCTCAGCATCCTGTTCAACCATGGGAGTAAAAGCCTCCATACTCAAACTTTGAAATGACAGAAGAAATAGGAAGAACAACTCCTCCAGGGCAGGGACAGGGGGATATGATGACGACCAAACCCCAGCATTCGTAAAACAGCACAGTGTAGCTGTTGGAGTAATTACCTCTGGTATCAAAGTTCATGAATGGGTTAAGTGCATTTTGGATAGGTAAAAGCAGAATAGAAGAAAATCCCACTATGATCAGTTCATTTAGGAAACTAACATACCAGGAAAACAGATGAAGGACTCCAAATATTTTTATGTGCTAATATTTAAACCCTGGAATACTTATTAACAGTCTCTTTAAAATAAGAACCAAATCAAACCAAACCAAACAAAAACCCCACACCAAAAACACTCACAAAACCCCCAAAACCACAAGAAGTGTTCCAAATCCAGTAGAAGACAAACTTCATAAAATCACCCCTGGTAGTCAATTACACAAAATAGATAACTATATTTAAGGTTTTTAACTTGAAAAAAAAAAAAAAAGCCAGCAATTTTTCCATTCCATAGACTATTTGGGAAATTGAGGGACTACTTACTCAAGTCAAGAACATCATCTGTCTTTATCAAATCTTCCTCCCTTGTGAGTGGTAACTGAGTTTCTGGCTCATCTCTCAAGTGCAGTGACAGTGAACGGAGCATAAAGAAAACTCTGATTGCCTTGAGAAATTAAAAAAAAGAATATTAAAATCTTGCTGCACTCAGTATTACATATTTTAACACAATCTTACAAACATATACTTGTTTTTACAATCTCTGAGTTTGTTGTCATGCAGTAAACCTACTTTTTAAATTGAGAAATAGAATGTAATTTCAAAATTAGTTAAAGACTATGGAAGAAGTCGAAACATGCTGTTTATTTTCAATGAAGTAGAAGCAGCAGAGCTCTTATCCCACTAGCACACTTACACAGATTGTGACTGACAGGCAAATGCTTACAGGAGCTGTTTAAGCAATAACAACAATCTTGTGTTGTTTTTTTTTTTTAAATCATTATTTTAAGGCTAATATTTACGATACCTGTACGCTACAGACAACTACAAAACCGACCTTCAGACTCTCACATTTTGAACTTAAAATAGTAATAACTTCATCTATATTCTCAGAAGATCTACATCAGGGCAAAGCATCCTGAAAGACACACCACTCCCAAGGAACTTTCAACAGCTGCTCTGTGGAATTAATATTCTTGTTTTGATTTAGAAATTAATGACATATGGTATGTAAAGACTAGATAAAGTGCCAAAGAACAATCATAATTTTATTAGCCACGTTTCGAAAGGCACCATTTATAATCCTTTTCCACTACAAGAACTGTATTTTCAGTACAGCAAATGAAAAAAAAAAATATATCATTTTTTATTACTTCTGGTGTTTTGTTTTTTAAAACAGTTTCCTACATAGTACTTCTGTGGCATACTGTAAATTAACTGCTGCCTTACAGTAAAAGCATCAAATTCATGGAACAGCTGCAGTGCCCAGGAACTCCCACATTGCTGGAATTATTAGGAAAAACAAATCTAAACTGCTTTTAAGGCAAAACCCTTCACCCCTCTGTTTTTAAAAATCAACAGAACTGTGGCTCCCATTAACGAGAAACATGAGTGCTTGGTCAGCTATCATACTGGTGGTGCTTTCAGAAACTTCTGGTAGAACAAGGATGAAAAGGAGGAAGTCACATATCTGTCTCTTCCATGAATTGACACCAGAGCAGATGAATTTGGTATGCTGCTGAAATCTAATAGGGCAATATTCAGAGCAAAGAATGTCAAGGGTATCTAACAAAAATATGGTATTAACACTACCTTATGAATAAGAACAGAGTCTCTTTATAATGGGAGATGATCTTTCCCATTTAGGCAGATTGTATTCTAATGTACTGTGGATTTACTGAAATTAAATAGGATTACTATAAAGCAGTTTTACTACCAGATACTTCAAGGAAAATTCGTGGTATTTGGTTTAAAAGTTTCCAAATTCAATCAAGAACAGCAACATCCTTGCATTTTTGGTAACCCACAAGTCAAACCCAAGATTTTTTAATTCAGACGGCAGCCATCACTCAGCCTGCTTTCACTTACTTTACCCTCAATCTTCTAGACAGAGCATTAATTTCGCTGGCATACATTCCGTATAAAACTAATGTCACTCATCTCCAAACACGTAATCACATTTACTGTAGAATAATCTACAGGAGTAGGAAAGAAAATTAGAATTTTAGCCTTTGCAAGAAAAAAAATAAATTAAGAGCATCAGATGAAAAGGGAACTACACTGTGCTTCCTACAATACTGATAGCCCTCAGTTTGATAGCAATATCAACATATACCCAAAAGCATGTGATTTGTGACTTCCTGTAACATTTTATTAGATCTCAATAAAACAGCAGCAGTTCAGTGGCCTAGAATTTTTTTCAGCTGATTTCTGCTATCTTGGTTAAGTACGAACAAACATGAATTGCTATCTACATTAAAAAACTATGCATTACGATGAGCTATACTTTGCCCCGATTCCTTCATTTACACACAGATACCACATGCAAAGAAACAGCAATTTGCAGAGAAATCACATTCTCACAGGTATTTCAAAGCCTTCTCTCAAAGTCTTTGCTTACTATGTACTCCAAGGTGCAGAGTTCAAGACCCATACTGTTCATTACTTCCCAAATAAGCACGTAAATGAGTTTGCATCATTCTAGATGACCAGTAAGCAGTACCATCTTTAGGACTATAGAAATCAGAAGGAAGAGATGCAACCAACAAGCCGTAACTGAACAATCAACAATTCAGAAGAGCATCTGATACTGGGTAGAAGGCTTGATCAAGCAGCAATAGCTGATTTCAGAAAGCAGCTTAACAACTTCTGGTCATTTCAATGTTTGAAGTCAGAGGGCCTGTCTCTCTGGATTTTGGAGATGTGCCTTTGATAACTTGAGAGATATCCGACTGCCGAGAGTTCTGCCTGAAGTTAAGAGGAAAAGAATTGCCACACAGAGGGACTTTCTATAGCAAAAGAAGAAGTGAGAGCCTAAAACGATCTGATCTCTAACAGCTAAGAACTCATGATAAAAATCAAAGTATGGGACTTCTTCACTTGCTAGTGAAATAGGACTTGAGAATTTGTTTAGAATCATGCCATGTGATGCTCAGAATAGAATCACTATCCATTTGAAACTGCCAGCAAAAAGGACCTCCAGCAGGTTAAGTGGCAGCAGCAATGTCACAAGATAGACCTGAAGTTCAGCATATTGTTACAGCAATCCAGCCTAAGAGAGGTAGCCTAGCTGGAAGAAAGTAGTGTAGGAATTCTAAGAAATTATAAAACCTCCAGAGCAATGCGATCAGGGGAAGGAGGACCAACGAGGAAGCATTCTGGGAGTTTTTGCTGATGAGAAAGACCCTTTCACCCCAAAGAATGTTAGATTTTTGAATTTTCACCAACAGAAATTAAGATATTCCTTATTTAGCACATGAAAAGCCATGTAGCAGTCAGTTTCCGTTAATATGCATTTCTAAGTATCATTCTGTTTAATAACTTAGAGAGAATTCTAGGAAGCATTCTTGCTTTCTAGAACAGTACTTTTCAAGATAATTCACTGTACTTTATCAAACAACTTGCTGCGATAACAAAAGTTGTGTGGCTTATAATATGTAATGAAAGCAAATGTTTTCAAAGGACTCCTGGAAATACATTTTTTCTTCGAGAGTACTTGAACATACTTACATATACACTTACACAAATGCAAAGCTACCTGAAGAACAGCACTTTTCAAATAATAATGTCATGCAGTAATATATCTTTAAGACTTACTGGCACTGCAAGGCTTACTGGACACTGCCAGATAAGGGCCAAGAACTGATTATCCCAAGAACGCTGATGTTGTTATTCAGGTCAATATCACCTCTACAGATTGTGTCATAAAAATAGATATTTTGCTATTTTCCTCACTCTCAGGATCTTTATCATGAATTACTACAGCAGGATGAACAATCCTGACTAGAATGATATTTTTTGCTATCTAGAAACCCAAGCAATATGAAGCCGTCCAGCCTTCCAGTGGAGATTCTTACTATAGGAATATAATGAAAGATAGACTGAAATATCAGATCACGAAACGAAACTGACAATATATTCATAAGTGCCATCAAAATGCTTTTTGATGTAGATGTCTCCATGGTCCAAAAAATTAAAACCACAGTGCAAGAACATATTGAATTGAATAGACACAAGAAATAGTACAGAAAAAGTTTCTCCACTGGGACAGGTAAATATTATATACTCTACACACAGGTTTGTCTTCATCAAGTCTTCATGATTTTATGGATGATGCTTCCAATCAAGCAGCTTTAAAGGAATTCTAAAAATTCTAAAATTGTTCAAAGTCTCTGACATCATTCTGTCATGAACAAATGTTAAGAAAAATAGTCTTACTCACTCTTCGTGTTCTTTCCACATCTCCACAAGGCAATCTTTTCACAAAATCAATACCAGTCAGTGGTGTCCCCGTTGGAGGCAACAAGATTGACGCATCCATCATCAAGTACTCTACATTCATGGGTTTAATCTATAAAAATATTTTAACATTGATTACTAAACAGAACAATAAGCATTTGCATCTTTACTTTCAAATACAACTCATGGTTGCATATTTTAAGAGGAAGGAATTGTTAGAGAGTTCTGAGAATTTTCGATACCATCTGTCTTATTTTAAGCTCCTTACATGCAATCTCTATTTTGTATTTGCTCATCATTCCCTAACACGCTGTTGAAGTTTCCATACTGAAAATAAACACAGGAAAAAACTCTGAAAGATTACAGAAGAAAAGCTGTTTCATGAGTACTAAAAACCAAAGTCTGCCAGGTTTAAGTTTTGACTCAAATTTGTAATTACTTCAACCACAAGAAAAAGTTCCCCTATCTTCTTCTCTCCAAAGAGAACTCTCTAGTCTCTAATAACACAGTAACTTTCACGCTAGACAATTCCCTTGAATCTTGCCACTAACACAGTCTCTCCCTTACATGGTTGCTTATTTTCATGAATAAATGATGTCTGAAATATCTATACTTCTATACCTTTGGGCAATTTCATCCAAGTTCTATTATATACACACACATATGAGATGAGGTTCTTTTTGCCAGAAAGCCGTCTGGAATGGCTAAAACATACAAAAGCCTGTCCCCACAGCTTGTGCAGTATTCTGCATAGAAGAAAAATGCAGCCACATGGGCACTGCAAAATAGCCAACTATAACTGGAAGCATTCCCAGCCACTTTGCCATGGTCATAAAATGGAATCATAGAATAGTTTGGGTTGGAAGGAACTTTGAAAGGTCATCTAGTCCAACCTCCCTGCAATGAGGTTAGATACCATAAAAGAAGCAGACTGAAACAGGGCCTAGAATTTTCACAGGGCAGTCTTGAAATGCTGCCACCTTGCACACATACAAACTCAAAAAACAGTCTTTAGTCAATTTTTCTGGTCTCAGAACAATTCATCCTCAGTGTCTAAAACACTGGATTAACAAATTCAATGTGTAGAAAGATACAAAAATCTACATAAACAGTGAGAACAAATGAGAACACAGAACTAAAATTTCTAACAAATAACTACTTCAGATGCAATTCACATGAGTGTGCACTGGTTTAAACAGCATACTACATCATAAAGAGGAAGAAAGTTAAAAAAGGCAACTCATTGCTGAAAGCAAAAATACTAAGGACTACAGTGTTCAATTTACTTGCTCCTCTGAGCTTGTTCTCATCTATCTTTACTGAACGCACAACTTTTTCATTTCTTTGTCATTCAGACAGCGCAAGTATAGTTCTGCCTTCATAGAAGCTCCATACCATGTTATTTACACAACTCATCTGACAAGACACCACCAGTGTTACTTAATACTTAAATCAGCCCGCCCAGCTAGCTAGCTAGGCAACTAAATATGCTTTAAGGAAAACAAAGTTCAAGTTCCAGGGTGTAGCTCTTTCTTTTATGGTAAATAAAAAAAAAAAAAAAAAAAGCCGTCTCAGAAATAGCAATATAACAGAAAAACCTACACGTACACTGAACTTGCAACATAAAAAATGATGCTAATCTCAGTGCCACTTCTCAGGCTAAAACTACAGCAATACTGAGCTACTTAAAAATTAAGTGTCTCACTAAATACTTCCGTTATTTAGGCTGGTAAGATATGTGCAAGACGCTGCCCATATTAAAAGACTTATTGTAACACACCAGCTACAGATTGTGCTTTATCAAAAAGACAACTAGTGGCTGCTCATTAAATCCCTGTACCACTGCGGAAAAAACCTGTAATTGACTACCTAAACTATTTTTATCTGAATTCTAATCTAAGAACTGAAACAAATAATTAGTTTTAAAATGTCTTTACAGTTAAATAAGAACTGTTTGAGATTAAGTTTAGTAATCTGTTAAAACTTTCATCACCAGTACTGCAGCACAGGCAGTACCTCTCCAGAGGAGACAAAGGCCCCAGTATTTGATCGCTGAAACCCTGTTTGTTACTGGCAAGTGGCACCACTCAAAACGGAAACCTTGCTGGGCTTCAGAAAAATACAGGAAGAGTTTCACACTGTTTAGTAACTAGAAAAAAAAAAATCAATCCAATGTCTCATTTCTCAGGATTTTCGTATACTTGCTTTCAGAAAGTAACAGGCTTTAATTTAATGAAGAGCTGTGAAATTTCACATAAACGATTTATGTAAGTATAGACACAATTCCTCAGAGACAAAAAAAACCCACCCACATATTATTATTCTACTCCTGGAAATAAAGATACCAGCATACTCAGCAGTTACAAGTAAGTACTTGATCTCGCTCCTGTGTTGTGTCTGGGTCTGAGGATTTGGCAGGGTGGAAAGGGTGGCACTTACTGTCATACTCCGGTATTCATCTTCAAACATATCCAGAAAAATTTCTTCTCCCTTTCAAAAAGAAGGGACATGGACATACCATGAATCCTTACGGCTACGGAGCCACGCTTGTTTTTGCCTAGTTATGTACAGGGTGTGGGTGCCCCGGTGCTGGCAGGGCTGCGGGGGGCTCTGTGAGGAGCAGGCCGGGCTGCCCGGCCCACACACAGCCGGTTCCGGCCTGTTCCAGCGCAGGGCATGAACACTGATGGCACCTCTAGGAAAACACGTTTAAGAAAGGGAGAGAGATTCCTCTGCAGCCTGTGGAGAGGGCCATGGTGGAGCAGATACCCACACTGCAGCATGGGAGCTGGCGGGTATGCCCTGAGGAACTGCAGTCTGTGGAGGACTCACACTGAAGCGTTTCGGTTTTTCTTCCTGAAGGACTGCAGCCCATGAAGGAGAGGACCCACGGTGGGGCAAGGGAAAAGTGTGATGAAGAAGCAGCAGAGACAAACTGTTATGGACTAACCCTAAACCCCGCTTCCCATCCCCCCTGCACCACCCAGCACGGGGAGAGGTAGAAGAAACTGGAATGAAGGAGCGAAGTTGAGCCTCAGGACAGGGAAGACTGGGGGGGCAGGTGTTGTTTTAATTTGTCTTTCTTTCTCACTATCTAAATTTATTTTAATTGTCAATAAATTAATTTTCACTGTTGGGTCTGTTTTGCCCATGATGCTAATTGGTAAGTGATCTCCCTGTCTTTATCTTGGCCACAAGATTTGTTCATCTTATATTGCCCCTCCACCGTGTGGAGGGGAGTGAGTGTGCGGCTGGGTGGATGTCCAACAGCCAGCCCAGGTCAACCCACCACAAGTTACTTATTTTTTGTAAGCCACATCGAGAAAACATTCAAGAGAATTCCAACAAAAACAGGAAGAGATTTTAGACACTTGAAATCTGTCATGGATTTACAACTCCTTATATAGAAGTTAACACCTAGGGCTAAAAGTTTTATTTCTCCCATTGGTTACAATACAATAAAAAAAAAAAATGCAAAAAGCTGCAGAGGTCTACAATAAGAAAAAAAGATTAAGTAAAATTTTAGATCATCATTTCAGATAAGACACAAAGAAAAAGTAATGCCAAAAAGAAACACATTCCATATTAGTGTCAACCGTAAAATCCCAGAAATGTTCTAATAGTGTGGCTCTGTTCCATGAAATACATCGCAGTTGCAACAAAAGCACGACTGCTAACTTGACCTCCAGTACAAACTCTGTGAGACTTCTAACGACCTTTTTGTGATGTATGTCCATGTGGCACGGGAAGGGCAGGAAAGGAGAGGAATCCTTCAACGAAACACTTTTTTCTCTATCACAAATATATGTAGTTTCCATGTTAAAAAAAGTACTGCCTTGGGCACCATGTAGAGACTGGACTGCAGACTTGCTTCTAATTCCACATTAAGTAAAGGATTTTTTATTAAAGCATTTTGCATACATACCTTATAGAAACGACGGAGGAGATGAACACTTTCTTCCCTTGCACCCTAGAACAGATAAAATAACTACATTTCAGGGAGTAAATGCACCATTTACTCACAAGTTGCATGTAAAAAAAACCCACCTAAAACCTCATACAGAAGAGACTGTCTATTAGTATCCCCATACTCATAGCCTTCAGCCCAAAACCTGAAAGAACACAGTCCTTGCACTCATGGAAATACAGCTTATGGGAGCTTGTTAGCTTCAAAGCACTTTTCTTTACATTTTTGGGATGGATGACATACAAATTTCACAGAGAAAATTAAACATAACCCAGCTTGAGAAGTTAAGAGTTTAAATAGCAGAACGGAGTACCGATTCTTTACTTTCACTGCACGAAGCTGTCAGTGGAAAGATGCTGTTGAAGGTCAAATTTCACATTTATGCTTATTGCAATCAGAAATGAAACAAATTTATTCAACTATACTACAAGACTCAAAGACAAGTAATGCTGAGACTAGTAATTTGAAAGAAAATACTCACCTCAAGGCAAGCAAGGTGAACATCTTTTATGATGCTGCCATTTTTAGAAAACACAAGCTGCTTCAGCAACAGGCAGCCAAGTTCTAAAGTTGCCAAACGGATTTTTCCATCTATGAAAAGAAAATTTCAATATACAAAATAGTAGCAGTTTAAGTATTGCTTTTCTCATTCCATGATGTTCTTAAGTGTTTCAACTGTCCTCTGCAATTGTCAAACTCTGCTCCTCTATCATACACACCCTATCTGTCAGGGATGAGTGCTGACACTGGCTTACAATGCTGATGGTTATTAAAAAAAAAAAAAAAAAAAAAAGAACTGAAAGAGTAATTCAAAACAGAAGAAAATTTAAAGCAGAACCATGCAATAAGAAGGCAATAAAGATTAATACTATTACAAAAGAAGCCAAAAACAATGCACTTATCAATCTGAAGCACAGGTTGAATTACACAAAAATTACAAGAGAATCACAGACTTTTGGCATGGATAAAGGTATAAGATGAAAGGAAGTTTTGTATATAGCATACTAATAAGGCATAGCTTTCCCTTAAAAAACAGTCCAGAGGATTCAGATACAGCCTGGAGGTGAAAATCTAGAGAAGTTAGAGTGAAAGAATGCTTTAATATTTTAAGCTTATAGTTTCAGAAAGATTTAAAAAAATAATAAAAAAAAATATCAGTCTGAGCTCGGTGATTGATACTAAGACAATACACCCAAGAGAAAGACAGACATCTTACCATTTGAGCCCAACTCCCCATCTACTATTTTACAAGTCAGCACTATGCTGCCAGAAACTAAAGATACAGACAAAGATCAGTACCCCCAAAAAGAAAAGAAAAGGAGATGTCCTACACAGCATTTGGCACGCTTAATAAAAATCCATTATTTCCACCCCTCTTCAGAAGTGTTTTTGTTTAAATAAATGCATTTCCTCATCTTGCGTTCTTTCCTTCTGCAGTATGTACAAACTCTTTATATGTAAATGTGCCTTTAATCTGTGACTGGCACATCAGCATAACAAGTTAATACTCTGTACATCAGTCTTGTGAGTCAAATAAGCATTAGATTTTATTCTGCAGACAATCAGGAATTTGATAGTGCGCCAGTTTCAGGAGAAAAACAGTTCTACTCATTTGAAGCTTTAAGAGGGGAAGTGCAGGGAGAAGAGCTGTGGCTTGAACCAAAATCTTGTTTCCATGGAATAGGTGACTGAGCCTGTATCCCTCATTTCACAAAAAAAGTTGAAGCCAGGAAAGAAAACGTTGTTGGTTTTTTTTTTCTGCAAAACAGTTCAGAACTAAAAATACAATCTGCAATTAAAAAAAAAAAAAGAAAGGGGAAGTTTGCTATCACCTCTAGAGAGTAAGGACTGCTCTAAGCAAAGGGCACCATACAGTTTTCAAGACCACTCCACTGAAATTACTTTTACAAGCAAAGGTGCCACAGAACATACTCTTGGGACAAAATCCTAAATTAAGCTGAGATCACCATACATCTCATCATTTTTGTTTATTCAAAAACACAGAAAGTAGGAATTAAGACAACAGATCCCTGTATAGTTCTAAGTATAAAAGCAACTATTCAGCAGAAACCCAGAGTTTCTGGTTCATCAACAACCAACAAACCCCCCATAGATATCTTTCACAGACCACATATGCTTGTTGTTCATTGAAGAGCAGGCTAAACAGATGCTTTCCCCTCAAAGACAAGAGACTAGGTGGCTTTTTTTTTTTTTATCTTCAAAAATTTCAGCATGGCAAGAAAACAAATATTGGAAAAGTGATACCTGGCTGTGCAGCATAATTCATTATCCTGATGAGCCTTTCTGCAAGTACATGATTATATGAATTTCTCTCTTCGGCATGTTGAGCTGGAAGTTGAATTCTCTCCAGTTTGACTGGGTCAATTCCTTTTGTGGGGGATGAAGGAAGAAAGGTAAATTAGAAAACAGGGGTATGCTGTGATAAAAGTATTTAATAGATCATAGCAGTTTTCTCAGAAGAGTGCAATTAATAATACAAAACTGGGCAAGTTAGTTTTGAATTTGTATTAGAAGGAAAAGGAGGAATAAAGAAAGACTAAAGACATTTATGTATCACTGAAAAAAATCTCAGCCTTAGATGGAGCCTACTGAGTGAAGACACTGAAATCCCAAAATGGTTGGTGACATCCAAACCATTTTACGGCATGTCGAATTCTCAGACTATTTGTTTCCATCCAAATCAAATCAAAGTCAAGCCATACATCAGAAGAGCATAAAGGCTAAAGAGAAAAAGACAAAAGCCTGATTTTAAATTCCACTTTGGTACTAAGTGATCAGTTCATGTATGTTTTAAAAAAATAGGAATTTTGTTTTGTAAATAGTACCCTCTTATTTAGTACCCTCCCCAACGCAAATCACAGATTCTGACTGAATTGTATATAGAAACCAAAGCTACTTTCTTCAAACTATTCCTCTTAAATATCTAAGTTATTTCTTGGAATAGACTAGTTACTGTAAGACCTCTTCGAACAAAACATAGTTAGAGATTGCTGAGGATGTCCCTGCCCTTGTTCTAAAGAATGGCAATAAACAACCCCATAAAACAGAAGATGACTATCTTGCAGTTTATAGTTTCTTCCAACCCTGAACTTGTAGTTAACTCTATATAACAACGCCATTTGTGATATCTCATTTATTTCTTCACCAAGCATTTGTATTTGGAACAATTAATAAAGGTCTGTGTGAAGATTAATGACAGGGATACAAATGCTTTCTGTCATGATGAGAATGAAGAAAGGGGTGGGAGGGAAGGAAGCATTTAAGGAACCAGGGCAATCAGAGAATTAACGATCATAACAATCTAACAGTTTAGTGAAGAGCTACAGTTTTCCTTCTAGAAAGGACAGCTGCTTAGGACTAATATCTTAGATAATACCTATCTGCAGATTAAGCTTTCACAGAAGGACATGGTCATTAACCAGCAGAAAACCATTAAGAAAAGAGACTAAGAAAACACGGGGGCAAATGAGGCAGGACCAGGTAGGAGTTTAACAAAATGGCCAAATTGAAATCGTAGCAAAAGAAATCATACTCAGCACCTTTCCTTTGGTTGTCTGCCTGCAATCGATGCAGGGTTCTGCATTCTTGAGATACAAGACATGCTATGGCAACAAATATGAAGAGCTCCTTCTAGGATTAAAAATCTCTCTGACACGATCAACAAATCTATTTAGCTGCCTGTGTGTACCTCTTGGGATTCTTTCCTCCTGTTCACACAGATATTTCTTGCCAGTGAAAACCAGGCACATTTTCTTTAAACTCATTCAAAATGCAGATTAAGTATTCAAATGGAAGGAGTCACAATCAAAAGCAATAGGGTGTACACATTTAGTGACAGAGCCCAAGAAGGCTGCTCCCTTAGAAGCAAGGCCTGAAACCAAAGTTCTTGGTTAAGCTAGGGCAATTCCACTTTTTCTGACTGTGTTCTGTTGTAGCCTTCTCCACAGTGCCAGAATGAGTAGCATGGGGGACAGGTGAAATTCAGACCGACCAGCTAGAGAATCAGAAGCGTATCTGAAACAGCCAATATACTGAAAATAGAAAACTGCAACTCATTCTCCTATGGTGTAGAGAGGACAAGCTTGTGTTGCATTCAGTCACAAGAAATCAACCCAAATTTCCCATTCATTACCTGTTTGTTTGAACTGATTCAAGTGCTCACTAGAGCATTTACCATCTCTGCCAAATAGACAGTAAACGGATAATCAGATCTTGGACATGTTACTTCCTGAAACTGGGGAAAAAACTTGGCCTCTCCATGTTTGGAGAGAGACCTTAATGCCCTTCTGTAAAAGAAAACTATTGACTCATACCTTGAGAAAGTCTGTAAGCAGACAGATCTCTTGCATTACACTGAATTCAGATATAAACATTGGCTCCAGCTCACTCCTGAGGCACCGTACGTGACTGATACTGAATTTGGCGTAGAAAGGAACGGCTGTACAGCTCTGAGCTGTTAAAGAACAGCATTCTGCTCCTGCATCAAACAGGGGCAGTGAATCAGCGCTTGTAAAACCCCTCTTCTTCGAGACATAGAGGCACGGATTCTGTGGCCCCCAGGGCTGAAAGCAGTCTATTCCAGCACACAAGAGGAGTGGGCTGGTGAAAGACAGTGAAGACCAGAACTAGACGTCATTATCTGTCTAGCACCTAAGGGTCAAGGATAGGGGAAGAAAGGAAAATAGCTTTCAAAGAGCAACATGCTAATGTAAATTGTTGACAAGAAAAGCCAACAAGCACAGCCTAAAGAATTTTTCATTTAGACAGCGCTGATGTGACCACCAAAAAATGAAGTGTAGATTTTGATCCCTTAAACTCATAAGAGCTATCTCCAGTTTTAGGGCCGGGATACTTTCCGTCTCTTAAAAGGCAGATATTTCACTGCCTGTTATATTTCTCTTGCTAACTCTGAATATTGGGTGAAAAATAAATAGCACCAAGATTGCTGAAAGTAAGCAGCAAGAGGCTGCATCTGCTGCATTGCTCACTGTTTACAGCAATGCTATAGATGTAAGCAAATCATCTCTGAAACAAGAGAGAAGATCAGACTTTTTTTCTGGGAACGGGATATTGAAGAGTGACTAATTACACTGAAAGCAAATACAGTGGGCTGAAGGACTATGGTCTTACATAGAAAAATTCCTAAGAAATACAACCCTAGAGTGCAGGCTTACTTCTTTACAATGACGTTGAAAGACTTCCAAAGACTTTCTGGAGCTGCAACAGCTGCAACTAATGATTTTGGATATTCACAGCTTCAACTAATGAATTTTAAGAGAAGAGAATCCATCTCTGACATCAGGATTTTCTAGCATAGTGATGCTCAAAAGTCTCTCAGGGAAAGACATTTTCTGGAAGAAGTATACTGGTTGCAAGGTAGGGGTGGGAAATCAGAGATGCAAGTCAGAGAGGGCTAAAGCATAGCAAGGCTGTGGTGCTATCTTTGGTGATATTAGTTGCGTTATTATCTCTTGTCGTAAGAGATATGAAATCCCTGAAATTGTCTGCAAATTACAATCTCAGAGAAGCATTCTTTCATTCCTGGAAAAAGATAAAGCCATCAATAGCATGGAGAAGAACAGGAGGAGCTCAGCTTAGCTAGTTCCCTCAAGACTCTCATTTCCACTCTACTTGCCCATTTAGAGGTACCTTGACGCTATAACAGAATCCTTACTTTTAAGCATGCCATCACACCTGACGCTCTTTTGCTCAGTTTACTGTAGCAGTTGATTCATTTAAATTACTAGTATGTTATAGAAACTATCCTCATAAGCAGAAAATAACTTACATTTAGTGCTCAATTCCCGAAACACATGATTATTCATATGTATGAGTTGTTTACATTATTGTTTCATAAGGATTCTATTTAAAATGCACACAAAGATAAACAGCAAAAAAGCTAACCATAATCATCCCTTAGAAATGGTTACATATTCTCATACTTTCTGAATTACAATGAATTACACATTTAACAGTTTTGCTGGCTTGTAAAATCATCTGGGGTCCTTGGAAGACTTGCAAGATGTATTATGGCCTAGAACACTGACAGCTTTTATACTTGGCTTACATGTAGCAATCACAGTACATGCAAAGTGGGAAAGAATTGGATCCCATAAATATGTAGCCCACTATAGTCAGTCTTCAACTGAAATGAAGAGATTAGAAATTAAACACAATAATCCTATTCCAATTCCAAGAAACCTATGGAAGAAAAGTTATCTGATGTTCACAAAGCCTTCTAACAAATTGTTCTTAAAAAGGTGATCCCTAGCAACTGTTTTTACTTACAGCATACTTATTTCTGCCTCCCCCATGTAAAGAATTCCTCACCATTTAAGGCATGCATAAACATACGCTACAAACAGATCGTGCTTACCTAAAACCATGTGTCTCATTTAGTTTTCTCCGGAAAAAGCAAAAATTGCTTACCTTTGTTATGTGACATTGCATATAGAAGACAGAGCACGAAGAGGGCATAGTAATCATCGTCAGCACAGTCTAGTGCATTATAGACCATATCAAGAAAAGGCCTGTGGAAAAGAGTAATTTTAAAACAGTTTAGAAGAAAAAGATCACATCTACAGCAAAATGAGTAATTATCCTGCTCTACATGTGGCAAGAGGCAAATTTACAGTAATGCACATTTTCAGGCATTAAACAAAAATTAACCTGTTTAAGAGCACTCAGATTATAGTCATGCCTTGTATTTACATTCTTACATTAATTCTGATGTTTCAACGGGATTTGTTGCATAATACTTTCCCAAGAATTGATTGTTCACACATTTACTGGGTTGCGTATAGCACATTTAGTAAGTATGCAGAAGCGCACAGCTTGTTTAAAGTCTGTATGTAAGCAACTTCAAAGAGCTGCTATCACTGTTGCATAAAAAAAGACTACCTTAAAATTCACGTACTAAATGAAGTTGAAAAGTTTTTACTATTACAAGAAAGCAGTTTTCACCAAAAGTTTGGAGGAAGCTAGGTTATTCCAAAACAATCAGTCAAAGACATTACCATCAAACAGTCATAGGAAAGAAAAATTAACAAGGAGAGAACATTTGAATGGAAAAAAAGAAAGCTTTGGATTGAAGATGAGCTTTGTTTTCCTGGGTTTAAGCATTGTGACCTACGACACATATACAGGAAGCTACAAACAGTGCTAACTTCACCCTTCACCTATACCCTGAGCAGATGAGAAAAGTCAACTTAATGCACAAGCTGTTTGGACAGATCAGATATGGCTGAGATTCGGTTGATCTTAGCACAAGCCTGATGGCAAGGCAAAAAAAAAAAAAAAAAATTCCTACCTCTCAAAAAAATTTTTTAACAGTAAAAATAAAAAAAAAAATCCTTGTTACCTAAATTACATCCAAATAAAATACATCAAAATAACATCCGAAGTCATAAAACCAAATACGTTTTCCTATCTTCAGACCTAGCAGACAAGAAGCATCCACCACAAACTCATCACTGTGGTTAGCTATAGTTCAGGATGTCTATCAAAGACAAGAACACAACATACTTCTATACCTATTCCAGACCTGTGGGGCCCTCACGGTAACACTTACTGTATCTAGGTAAGCCACTCAACTGAAATCTTAACAATATATTTAACACTTCCCATCAGACTCCACGCTTCCCCTCCACCCACATTTGAATAGCATGCTCTCTTTTACTAAAACAAGGCTGCAACAAGGATAACAGAACACACTGTTCCTCTGCTCTGTTCATGACGTTGCACTCATATGTTTGCACATTTCTGAAGCTGGATTACAAGCATCCTCTATGATATACTTAAATTCCACTGAGTTACGATCACTCTTTGCCCAAGTTCAGCTCTGCTGTATGGACCTAAGCTATGTTCCTATTGTAGATCTCAAAAGAACATAACTATTCACGCAAAAACAGCCTAAAGAATTAGCAGTGTTGAAAATAAACCAAGTCTTCCTGAGCATTAAATGAGCCCAACAAGCCTCATGACACCCTGAAACAGGGTGCTTTACACATAGCAAAGGGAGTTCAGTTTCAAGGACTAAAGAAGAAAGAGGACCAAGCTATCCAGGTTCAAGATCATTAAAATAGTGAAATGCTAGACAACACTAAGTCTGTTGTCAGACCAACAATACATGGTAATTGCCATCTGACCTACGACATAAAACTAGTATTTATTTTAATTTTATTAAAACCAATGTTTTAGGAGGTCAAAGCCACAGAAATATCAGTAGCTGTTCTATTAACACCAATATTACATGGTATTAAATGACTCCTGTAATCTTTAATGCATTTTTCATCGTTTTTCCATGCACATACTACTTAGATCTGTGAAATTACATTACTTTAAAACAATATGATTACAGCAGTGAGAGAAATAATTTTCATTCCAGATGCTTCTTCACAGCATCTATCTATCTGTACTATCAAAGTCTTAATTGGAAGCTGGAATAACTTCTAGTAATCCCACCCATCAACAGATTCTCATACAGACTAAAAATAGGATAGACCCATGAAAAACTTCAGCTGTAAGAAAGCAGCAACAGAAGGCACAACACACCAAGAAGGTTTTGCATTCTGGAAAAAACTGTGCTGTGCAGCATATCGTAAAAAGCTTAAACTTTCCAGTAGCGAGGCACATCAAAATAAAATTACACCAAAAACACTTAAACTTTCTCTTTTATGTTCTTCGCAATAGTAAAAGGGCTAAGGGAAATTGAACACATGACTTACAGATTTTTAACACCAAACTGTGCTGGTTTTTATTTATTTTTCCACAGCTACTGGACAATTTTTAAAAACCACTATTAATATTAAAGGCTATATGGCAAGTATTTTCAAGTGTATTTCTTAACTCTGTAAGCATTTGCTTACTTTACTAGCCTTTTACGAGTGACTTCATAGACAAAACAGATCAAATGCTACACAATTATCCTTCAAATTATTTATTCTTTTAGAGTGTGTCCACAACTGAAGACTGCAATACATCAGTAATCACGATCATCACAATCACTAACGATTATTCCAGTGATGGAAATTTCTCCCACTTCCAAGCATGGAATAAAAGATCACTGCATTTTCCACTACCACATGGTACCTTATCCACAAGACTCAGTGACACCAATCAGTGTAGGAAAGAAGCTACACACACTTGAGCAAATTTCTTGAGAGCTTTAATTACTGTTTCAAATACTACATTTGGCATATAGAATAACACAAAATCTTAAGCTATAGCAGCTTATCCAGCTATATTTCCAAAAATTCATGCCCTACACAAGGTCTATCCTTATTTTAAAAATATTTCTAGCTCTGTGAAAATTTTTGCTGCTGTTTATTTTTAGGAAAGACACAGGATGCTGTCAGATCATATCTGCAGATCAAGAGAGTCCCGAAATGCAGACATTTGCCAAATGGATTGGCATGTTGCATCTAAATATTTTGCACTTTTCAAGACCTGATCATCCTGGTTGCTTCAGTATTCAACGCAGTAACTGCCAATTTCTTTCTAAAAGCTATTTGGCACATATTTTAGTCAAAATATCAATAATCTAGAACAATGTATTTTAAAGCCAGTTCAAGTCGAGGTTCAATTTCGCTTTTACAGTGAAATGAAATGTTATCTTTATTAATTAATGTAATCTAAGCTACATCAAAGCTATAGTGGAGACAGAATGAAATTCTGGGAATATCAGGCAACATTTATCAAGTTTAAAAATAAATTTGAAATCCTATTAAACGTGCATTTCCCCAAGAGACACATTTGCAACTACTTTTGTGTCAGAGATGGCACGTTTGATTTCTTCTCTTCAGCATTCTAATAACAAGAACGCAAAATTCTTACTGAGACAGTGTCTTTTGGGTGTTTCATATATCCAAGTTTAAATTTTGAAGTCAGGCAATTTCTGCTCCCAAAACCACTTAAACACTGCATTTCCAGGAGAAGTTTTCGATAAACCTAGGGTATACTAACAGACCTTGGAAACCGTACATACATTAGTAAGGTTCATTCATAACTACTGCTACTAAAATTCTGCAAAATTCAGCCCTGAACTGAGGTATTTTCCTTGTTTTTTCCCCTATAAGGTATATACAAAATTGACAGATGTGACCATAAATATTAAGAAAATTTCTTCTGGCTTAATTTAGAGGTTTAGAGAATTCTGGAATCTAAACATTTCTACTCTGGTTTTATTGTGTTAATAGTCAGTAATGTAACTTTATCAACTTAAGGCATCACAATTGCCACAAAGGAAAGCACAAATTTTACAAAGGAACAGGACCATTTCCGAAACCAATCAGTAGAGAACCCACATACCATTTTTCTGTTGCCTCACTTATTTGTGATCCACAAGAACCCATGTAATTTTAATTGGGGGCAGCCTTGACACATCCCTTAAAAGACGCAGGAGTTAACAGGAAGCAATCCAGCAAAATATATTACAGTTCCCTTATACCTGTTCAAGTTTGTTATCTCACTCCCAGAGGCAGCTGCACTCTTTTCTTCATCTGTTGTATTCTGTTCTGTCACAGCAGAGATAGACAATTCTGACAGTTTACATCTCTCCATGATTACCATCTCTATTTCTAAAACAAAACAAAAAACAAACAAAAAACCCACAACACCAAAATTTGTTATTTTTAACAAAGTTATCACATGCTGTTTTGTATTTTCTGTTTTGCATTAAAAGTGACTGATGCAAGTATATATAAAAGGTATCACCATAACTTCAGAAAAGTTAATGAACGGATGTAAGCAAATTTTCTTCCCAATAAAATAAAGAATTTTGCTTACATTTCTTAAAGGAATTTAACTGCTATAAGAAAATTATACATATGCATAATATACGTAAAGAAGATATACAGATTACTTTGGCAAATAAACAGGCAACAGTAATCCCCCTCCTCTCCCAACCACAGGAAGAAAAAAAACACAGAACCTCTTTCTGAAAAAAAAAAAAAGAAAAAAAAATTCTTTGTGAAAACGCTGGTGAGATTGGGGCACGGGTGGACACCAAGTTTCACAGAGGGTGTAAACAGGTCTCTACAATTACAGCAAACGGGATACCTGGTCGCATGTGGGACCTATTGGCTTTAAGTAGACAAATTAGGACCAAATCTAGCTTTTGCTTAAGAATTTGGACAAAGATTACTACCAAATGCACCAGTTTAAACAGTAGATCATGCCCTATTTTCTTCAAGTCATGGTAGACAATACATCTTCAGTTAATTGACACCATTTATAGAAAGCCTTCTCAAACAGACTGTTCACCTAAATCAAAATGCAACTATGTTTGGGGAGTGCTGTCAAAGCATAAAGGTCTTGTTTTCAATTGCTTGCATGCAACTCTGCCACATTTTTCTCAATCTGCCCAAAGTAAAGACTAGTTTCTCATGTACAACCTACTAACTAGTAAAACTAGTTACTAACTTACTAGTTACTAACTAGTAAAACAGTCATGATATGCTGTAAGACCACTCATCCTAAAACCAATTCTTCTTACGTTAGCATTGTCAAAAAATCCTGAGAACATGCAATTAAAAAACCTAAAAGTTAAAGGTGTTTCTTCAGTTTTGAGCTATTTAATATCATCTTATACCACTTACTGTCACCTTTAGCACACTTGTTGAATTTTACCATTGAAACATGCATAAAATAATCCCAACCATCTTACAAAGGTGAAGTGGCTACACCATTTACCTTGCTACAGAATGAAAAGTTACAAAATTGTTAAGTCTACTTATAAAGTACCCCATAATCATGTACACTTCGGTGCAAGACATGCATGTGTGATGAGGGCCAAAGACTACAGAAATACATGAAAAAACTTTTATGGTTTTAAATCAGATTAGAAGTACATGTTCTGACAGAACGACTTAACACGAGAAAAAAAAACACAGCCAAAGACTGAAACAAATTTAGTAGTCCCACGTTTACCTAGTGCAACAACAGAACAAGTCATGTAACAGATCACAACTAGGTCCATACAGTAAATAAAAGTATCCAAATTGTAAGCATACTTTTTATTCACCGATATACTCACCTTCATTTTCACTGCTTGTTCTGAGGCCCTTTGAACTTGCTTCTGTACCTTTACTTTTATCTAGGTCATCTTGGTTATCTTCAGATCCTCTCTCCTCTTCATCTTCTTCACCAACATTTTTATAGTTGGGTCTTTTCTGCAACCTCTTCTTCCCTTTCTGTTTATTAATTTCAAGAGACCTCTCAAGTGTTTCTGTTGGTTTTATGAAACATCTGATACTTGACTTTGCCTGAAAATTTGAAGAGTTTACATTGAGTTACAGCAAGACATTTTTAACTCTAACTGATAAAGAAACTTCAGCTCACATAAAAGAGGGTTTTTAGAATGTAGATTAGAATATCACTTACAAATCTCAAATCCATTTTAAAATACAAGAAAGCACACCTCAAGTTGTATCAAACCATCAATAGAACAATTATCTCAAAAGTAATGTATTTTAAAGATCTATCATTTAAAAGTATGCCATCTTGAGACAAAAAGACATAGAACTACCTATTTCATCTATTATTATTATTTTTTCCCTCCCTTCATTGATCTTTCTTAACAGGTAAGACAGCTAGTACACATAAAATAAAGACACCTTTTGCAAAAAGGATAAAGGCAGCAAAATCTAAAGTGTGTGTTGACAGCAATGTATTCATATGAAATATACTCTTTAAATGTCTTTGGCACTAGCAAGGACAAAAACCAACGCTCTATGCCACAAGCTTTTTTTCAATCTTAAGCTTCCCTCTACAGCATACTAGTCCTTGTATCAGCTAGGAACAAATGGCACTGACATCAACCAACCTTTTTGGGGCTTCCAGACATGGACTTACCAAGTCCGGAAAACAACACCACTTAATTTGTTAGACTTTAATATATTAGTGTTCTACCCAAAGATATCAGAAGACAAAAGACACTACAAGAAGTTCTGCAACTAGCAGGACTAACAAAACTTGGTTTCCTACAATTTTGCAGACTGTTTCTGAGCTGTGACGCTTTGAGCAACCTTCTTGCTTGTTAGGCCTGCCAGCTGGATTACCAGAGTACATGCTCCCTCCCACCCAGAGCTATAAACATGGATCAGCCAAACCTCTCCTGTTAATGTGAAGCAAAACATATGATTTGGGGGCTTCGTGCCAGCACAGGTTTACACTGAACAAGACTGCTATAAAAACTTCATTACCTTTCAGACCTCAGTACTTCAATCACATCTAGCTGATGCTGGCTAAAGGGTTAAAAATTTAATGGCAAGCAAGAGAAAAGAAGCAAGACCAGATTAAACACAAAACTGATTCCCTTCCTTGCCTTAGGTGACTCAAGTACAATAGGCATTGAAGATGAGTGCATCAGACAGCTCAGTAACAAAGTTTGGAAAAATCCCTCCCTTCACTTAATAAGGAACATCTACACATATAAAATAAGAGATTAGGAAAGGATCTGTGAAAAAGCTTTCTACAAGTCAAAAGGCCAAAGTGTTTCTCTGAATCTTCTGACTTTTGAAAAAGATTTTACAGAAATCTTGCAAAAGTCACCTTACACTTGGGACTGAAACAACCCATGTAGTAGGAGGAATCTTTCACAATACCAAAAAACCCACAATGTGAAATTTACCACACTTATGTCCCCCAGTAACCTCTCTGATATATTTTTAGTCTGATCAACCTGGAACATAGGAGGGTTATAAAACAACCAGAGTTACAACCAGATTATTTTTTATTGATGGCCTGTGGTCAAAAAAGTCGTAAGAAAAGGGAGGAACACCTTAAGTCTTATTCTTTAGGGCAAAAAAGTAAAGTAGCATGCAAGTTGCATAACGCATTTTCCTCTTCCTGCGTTCACTTCTTACAATTGCTTCCTAGAATCCCGTAGCTACTTTCTTTATGAAGAATGCATGTATGTAACATCCTTGCATTTCTAAGATCCTGTTAGCCCTATGATCAAAATAACAGAAGAGACCAGTAGACAGCAATGTGCTCATAAGCACCGAACCACGGTCTGGTTCCATCTCAAGAAAGAATGCTGAGAAAAAGCCAACATATGTATTCTGTTCTGCTAAATATAATAAGGCTATATCTTTAAAACATTCTAAAATCAGACTTAATTTACATAGTATACGGTTTATCTAAGTTGATTATACAGTTTGAGATAATGCTATTTTATACTTTTAAAATGTCTTTTAACCATATTTTCAATTATGGTTTATCTTGTGCAATGTGTGCTGGTAAAATAAAGCAGTACCAGTAACAACTTTTACAGGAAGGAGAAAGTAGGTTAAACAAGAAACCAAGAAACATGAAATAGGTGGAACTGGCCCACATCCAAATTATGCAGGAAAACAGATCTCACAGGAAGTAAGGTAAACCTTAGAGTGATGACTACCAACAAGTTTAAATATATTCTGTTGGCTATACATATTCAACTCATCATCAGCTAAGAGTTAGTATTTCTTTTGGTGCCACCTAAAAACAGAAATACAGGGAAAAATATGGAAAGGAAGGTGTATCTTAATTTGCTATACTTTGAGGTAGAGAATCTGTTCAATGGAGGCTGGGCAATCATTATTGCCCTATAATGTTCAGCAGATCTCCATGGGTACATTATTGTCAATTCACAAGCTATCAGCAGTTAGATCTACTGGTGATTTTTCCCAGAAATTGATTTCTAGGAAAAAGTACGATTTGTTTCTTTCCTGACAACTACCATTACTCTTGCCCTAAATAACTCTGGATATTTATATACATTTCTGCATTTATACACAGCAACTGCAATCCTTCTCGTCTTCTATTAAGTATTCTTTACTCATTTAGTCTCCTATCATGAGGACACATGACCCTGCTTTTGGTAATCTCAGTCCATACTCTCTACACCTCATTCCACTTTAATTCATCTTATTAGGGAGATTAATACAGACATGACATTCTACGTACTTTGGGTTTTAGAAACTACATATTAATTAGAAACTGGAAGTTACACTTTAATTTAAATATATCAAGACATCTACGTAACAAGAGATGAACGGTGTTACGTACAGAGCGGGAGTTTAGAGATAACTGGAGTTCACCATAACACACAGAAATATCTCCAAAACAACAAGCTTAGGAGAGTCTCAGAATGATTACCATGGGAAATTATAACAGAAAGGAAGCAGTAAAAGATAAATTTGGGTCTGACTTAAGAACACACACAATTCTAAACTCAAGTCAAAAAGTAAATTAAAAAACTTGCTCATAACTTTCCTCTACTAATGCCAGAACAAGCAACTCTAAAGTAGCTTCTGAAATAGCTTCCATTATTCAACAGAAGTTTGTAATTTCTTTGCAACAGAATATACCACAGTAGTAACTTTACAATGATCACAATACACCTTACAGTCCAAAGAACAGCCCCTGAAACGGCTAACAATGCTCAAAAACCAACTTTCTCCTCTAAGAAGACCTATCACAGAGCAACGAGAAACTGCCTCTACTTAAGTTTTCTGTGCCTCCCTATCTACACAGCTGACTTTAGCCTTACTGCACTGAGTTGTGTATCAGTAGGAAACACCATGCAATACATACAGTCGGTGTTCATGCTCATCAATTGAGAGCAGCTCACTTGATAGCTCCCCTCACTGGAAGTAGGGCATGGAACTCTTCTGCTGAAGATTACCCCCTGCTCTTTCTGCAAATAACCAACCTCCACCAGTAGGCTTTCTGACAGTACAGGCTTTCCCCTCCAAGGTTTCATTAAAGAATATGGTTGAATTTACCAAAACCTAAAGTTTCTCCCATGGAAGTTTTTTCCTCATCCATCAAAAGTGCCACCACTCTTGTCTCCCTGTAAAAAAGCTCCACCTCTAGCAGTTTAACCGAGTGTCTATCCTAGAAGGCCAACACCCCTCCTATTTACTACCTGTTCAGGTATGACAGAACTCCCAGTTTACATGCCATGAAGACACATCTTAAAAACCAGTAAGAAGCAGCCCAAACCATGACAGAAACCTTTAATATTCCTAATGTTAGTGCAAGCACACAAACATACGCTACAGATATTGTGCAACTCCGTACAGTAACTATAACAGGAAAAGAAAATCTCACTTCTGCAACAACTGGTGCCCCACCCTCTTGCCACAAATTTCCTAGTAACAAAGCTGCTTCTGCACAAGTAACACACACAACATTCAGTATGCCGCTAGCACAAGGTCAGACATTTGCTAACACAAGTAAGAGATTGCTTTATCTTAGAGTATTCAGTCAGCTCTACCATTCCACTGTATTTTTTTTTCTTTAAAATATTAGATTCTAAACGTCAAGGTCAACAGTACAAAATACCAGAATCCAAAAGCTACTGGCCAAGATCAGCCCACACAGCTTCCACTGCATTGTAAGAAGAAATTTGGAAAAGTTGACTTGTATTATGGAAGAGTTGAAGTGTATCTCCCCCTGAAACTCTCAGAGATATAGCCACTTGTCATGGTTTTGGCTGGGCTGGCCACTAAAATGAATGACAGATTCTCTCTTTTACTTCTCTCCCCTTCAGAGAAGGGAGAGCATCTCCCTTCAGGGAGAGCAGGATGAGAGAGAAAAGAGACTTATAAATTTAAAAAGAAACTAAACTACCTTAATGAAAATATTAATAAAATAATAACAAGAAAATAATGAAATATATACAATATATACAAAACCGTATAGAGCTCCCAGGATGATGATCATGTCACCGGCTGGCACTGGGAAAGTCCCAGACTGGACTCAGCAATGGACAGGAACTGGATTCCAGATCTGGGTTCAGGAACGTGTGGACGGGGATCAAGGCAGGCAAACAGACAGAGTCCTCCTCGGATGCCGGCCATTGAAGAAAGAGGGCTGACCCTTTGATCCCTCAGCTTTTATACTGAGCATGAGGCAGATGGGATGGAATACCTTGTTGGTCAGTTTTGGGTCACCTGTCCTGTCCACTCCTCCCCACAGGTGCAACCCCTCTACGCTTTTCTGCTTCCAACCCTCCAATGGGGCACATAAAGTTAGCTGCCCTTGGGTGTTATAGCAGTAAGTATAAGCAAGAGCCTCTCTGCATACCATTCCTTGGTATAAATTATGAACAATCAGGTCTCACCACTCTGGAAGTGGATACTGTCAGAAAAATATGCCATTAACTTCAGACAGTTCTGTTATTTAGAAAAGGCTTAACTGAAAAGTAAAATTGCTGAACAGAAAATTGGTTCTGTTTTACCTCAAACCAGGACACCACTGCTGGGAACAAACATGCATAAGAACCAATCTACTGCTTGTTATAAATTAAACATTCCATCAGTAACTCTTTGCTGACCAGTCAGACATCAGGGGACATGTTCAATCTTTAGACAGAACTACAGTCAGAAGCCTCTTAACCAAAGTAAGGCCATATCCCCTTCTTATTACCATCCCCAAATAGGCCTTTTAAAAACTAACAAGCTAGCATTTCACAAACTGTGAAACCCGTAACAAAAGGGGGGAAAAAAATCAAATACATGACATACTTAAAAAAAACCACTAACAACAGCATCTAGCAACATCTACACCGGATTAAATCTGAAGATACAAGGCCAATGACAAAGTGATAGTGCTCCCATCTCTTTGTGGCTGGTCTATATTCTCTTATGCACTCTGATGCACACCTTCAGAGATGATCAGTTTTACTGCTAAAACATTGGGAATATTCAGACGAAAATCTGTATTTCCTTCTATATCCAAAGGATTTACCGTAAGGCCAGGTATTTTTCCTAAGTCTCTCATTTTTACTACAAGTTGCATAAGGAAATCATTTCACAGGAAAGTTGTGAAGACTCACTTCTATTTCACTACCAAAGACCTGAGAACAAAAACTGAACACAGAAGACTGGATTACAGAAGTGTTCCATCAAAATGATGGAAGCCTTTGCAGTGTCTAACCCCCACAGAAGCAAGTAAGTATTACAATTTGTGTCCTACGCTTTCTTATACCACTACCTGAAATACACATGCATGCACAAAAAAATTGCAACTTTGCCAAGAACATAATACTGCAAGTTGCACAGAGCATTTTCCTGCCATCATATCCAACAACAAAAGCTGAAATCTCCTATTGCTGCTCTTCTCTCCTAAACACAAACACATTGGCTTACCAGATTCGAGAGCCCCGATTTTGTTTTTCAAATATTTTCTTTGCTTCTAAAAAAAATATTAAACTTTAGTTAGCCACTTACTGAGTTTTTCTGTATATCTTGCTCGACTTTAGAAGAAAACACCGAAAGGTCACCATTAAGTATAACCTCAGCCAATGAGTTCACCAAGGGGGCGTAATGTATAATTAGAAAAACCTATAAAAGAAGGGTGAAAAGAAATATCAGACATGTATTACAGAACACATACAGTGTCACAATTTCAGTCACTGAACATACTTCTTCAACATTATTAAACTGGTATCTTAAGTTTAGATCAGTGAAGTACAACTGGTAACACCGATGGTTCACGAAATCTACTTCAAAACACAGGAGACCATAATCCCCTCTACAAGTATTTAACCTTTCTCTTCATTTTAAGCTACCTATTTTTAATAACTCTTCATACTCTTCCCTTCTTCTGAGAAATGTAAATTCTCTCTCCTCATCAGCTTTGAAATGAAAGTTGTGTGCTATTCTAATGAGGAACCCAAATTAAAACTGCTCCAGAAAATTGGGGGTTTTTGAGAAACTACACATACTGATTATGGTACACGGCATCCACTGACCTTCTTGTATGCCAACAACTGGCAGGACTCCAGTAAGTTCTGTGTTGCGCACACAATTACTTTGCAGTGATTCTCAAGTAAATGTCATGCAATAGGCTGAACTGGATCAGGAGCAGTTTTTCTGGCTATGGAATTGCAATGAATTATGGTCTAGCTACAAAGCAGCTATATAACACAGGAATAAGGGCCATACTGCCTATAACATTAAAGCACTTATCCAGAAGTGCTTTGGTGCTTTAACACAGTTCTTCATTTACACTAACCACTCTATTTTGAGGCAAATCGTACAAGGTTGGGCCAGCAAACAATTGGCTTCTGTACAGAACCAGCTCAGATCCAGCCGCAATAGCATTATGTCAGCTTATATCCATTCTCTTCACAGCAATATCAAAACTGGATCCCTAAACAGTAGTCCTAGATGAAAAATACCCAAATAATTTCTAAATTAGTAAACCCAATCATTGTTTTGACAATATTTAGCTAAACATAGAATGGTTCAGGTTGGAAGGGACCTTAAAGATCATCGAGTTCCAGCCCCCCTGCCGTGGGCAGGGACACCTTCCGCTAGACCAGGTTGCTCCAAGCCCCATCCAACCTGGCCTTGAACACCTCCAGGGATGGGACATCCACAACTTCCCTGGGCAATTTGTTCCAGTGCCTTACCACCCTTATGGTGAAAAATTTCTTCCTAATATCTAATCTAAATCTCCCCTCTTCCAGTTTGAAGCCATTACCCCTCATCCTATCACTATATGCCCTTGTAAAAAGTCCGTCTCCAGCTTTCTTGTAGGCCCTCTTCAGATACTGGAAGGCTGCTATAACATGATTTCCACAGGTTTGCTGACTAAAATCAGAACCATTCCAGACCTTCAAAAGCGAAGTGATTGTTCGCATGTAGTGGTGACCTATGTAAAACTTTGTAAAGTCACAACACACTTCAAAAATACTTACAACAACCTCACAAATCATTCAGGCTTCTTCTAATTCAGAAAGTATAGCTCAACTATACACAGGCATGTTTTGGCAGAAGTACGTTATGTATTCACTTTGTGAACAGTGGATGGTAATCCATGATGAAGACCCACCTCAGTGGATTTTCACCTGCTAGTAAGGGTCTCTCAAGAACTTCTCTCCAATATATGAGTAATGCTTAAAGCATATGTCTTGTGTTAATAACAGGAATAGTTAAGAAGGCTTTTCAGATACTCAGGGTACACTTTTTCAGATCCCACTCCTTCAAAGACAGAATCTAGGTTAAAAAGAGGTGGAAAAAGATACACTTCTGCCAGTTACAGAAAAAGTAGCTCGATTTTCTACATCACATCCCATTCTGACACACAGAATTTGTTCCCAATTCTTTACAGTTGGGAAAAAAATCCGTTTTCTTTATTAAAAACAATAAAAAACACAGATGCAAATTGTGAAGTGATACCTAGCCAATTTCAGTGGAACTGAAATCAAAGAGGTTAAAAGAGGTCAACATATACAACCTATGACGCAAATCCCTTTAGTTACAAGAAGCTGTTGCTCCCAACAATCTGTGGTCAGTAACTCCCACATGATCACAATTTTTTACATTTAAATTAAGAAGCATCAAATTACATTACCCTGAAAAATCACATTTTTCAGAAAAGTTCTTACAAAAAGAAGATGAAATTATGGACCAGACCATCACAAAATGACTAATGTAAAATCGTAAGTTAAAAAAAAAGAAATAAATTCTACAAGTACAAGTAAAAACTATTTTCAGAGAACATAATTTAAGAAAACTAGTCTCATAGCAATGCATGGAAGACTACAAGGAGAAAAGATCATTTTTCTCTACAATAAAAAAAAAAATCTACTGTGAAACTCTTCATTTGAAAGTAAGTTCCAGAAAGAAAAGGAGGTGGGACTGGTAAGAAAAAGAAATAACAAGTACTTAATTACAGATTTAAGGTACAGGCATAATGAAATTCAAATGGGGTTTGTGTTTTGGTTTTGTTTTTTTTTTTAATAATCAAAACAACCCATGAGTTCATTGCTCCCTCTGTGTTTCAAAGCGGAAAATTCAAACCCAGTATATGAATCTGCCAAAGCTATGGGAAACTGCAATACAGCATCTATCTAAATTTCACCTGCAATTTTACTAAATTCTGTCCTAGCATGTTGCATGGCTCTGCTATGCACCATTTGTCAGGTGGTATACTTAAACAATAATCAATGAATGCTCTAAAGGCTACCCTGTGCTATGGGATCCTCAGAAGAACGATATTAACTCAAGGAAGAAGCTACTTGGTCTGTCTATAAAAAGAATTATTTTGCCTTTTTTTTTTTTTTAATGGAAACTGATAGCTTTAAAACTTTGTTTGCCAAATTGTCTTTAATGGCTTTGCCAAACTAGATGATTAAATTAATTTATAAATCATAACACCACTGCAAAACATGTCCTTAAATAGGACAAAATACTTAAAATACTTACTTGAGAAAGAAGATAGAGAGAAACTTGGAAACTTATTTTTGGACGCTCTCCACCCTACAGAAAAAAAGTTACAAAAAGTGCTAAATTATTTTTACAAAGTTAAAGCATTTAAACTGTTTAATATTTTATTTAAAACAAAACTTTTAATATTATATTGTTCCACATTCTGGTACAAAATGTTCAGAAAGCATCATGCTCGTCAGCATTCCCTTCTTGTAAACTATTTCAAATGAAGACTCTCCAAATAAGCATATCCCTTATGCTACATGCTTAAAAAATGGCTATTGATTACTGTCCATCATAGTCACTTTGGTCGCTTAAATTTAAGACATAAGTATCTGAGAAGTATGTTGGTTTTCACTATCCTATTATTTCCTCAAAACGTACTTCTCACTTAACATTCATTGAAGTCTGCTCTAAAAATTAGCTATTCAGAAACAATTAAACACTATCCACATAATAAGAACAGGTTCTTGACAGGTGCTTCTCTAAATTAAGTGAATCACATTGGACAAAAATATTTTAAGTATAACTTGAGCACAACAGTGATAAATTTATATACAAGTAGTAATGAAAACGTTTCTAAAAATCCATCAGCGATACTTTGAAAACCATCACCAAATAAATTAATCAGTTATCCCAAGAGGTACGAACAGCCCAATTTTATGATTGCAAATATCTCTGACCTCGTGATAATAGACAGGTATGCCTGAAAACAGGATGAAAAGCAGATTTTTGTACATGCATGAGTAGAAAGAGTTTACATAAAAGTAAAACCCAGGAAGTCTGCTTCACCCTATTTCAATGGCAAGACAAGGAGCTGATTGTTATTCCATGTTCGGTGCACATACAATATACTGAATTCATTAACTTGTGGTAAACCTGACCTCTCATTAATGAAGTATGCTTAAATTCACAAAGCACTGTATATCTTAAGAACAAACACCACTACAGAAAATTAAGAAGGGGAAAGGGAGGAAGAAAAAGAAAAAACCCAAGAATAAACAAAACAGTGATTTATTTATTTATTTATTTAGACAAGTGAATACAGGAACCTGTACAGGTTTTAGAAGAACAGTTTCTATTTCATTAAGAATTAGCTTTCCACTAAATTTAAAGGCTATGCTTTAAAAATTAATTAAACTATATCACATTCAAAACCAGCTTATCTGCAAATAGATATGTATCAAAACCAAAAATTTATATTTTCTACCAGGAGTAGATTTTACACCACGGAAAATTGCACGTATACTGGGAAAAGGTACTATAATCTGGTTTTGCCAGGAAACAAGTTACCATATCAGAAAAGGAAATCACGCATCCCTCGGTGTCAAAGAAATGTAAACCCTTTTCCAAATTTTCAACTTTTCTCATCTCCGCTATTGCTAACAATCATGTAATCCAAAACAGTATTTGTTTGGTGAATAAAGTTTCATCTGCTCTGTCCTTAAGTTCAGTCTCAGGGTACTTCCCCTACATTTATTTTATTTAAGCTGCTTAGTATAAAACACACAAACATAGATATCAACAGTATTAACCCTATTACAGCACACACGTGCTGAACGAGTCATTATGCATACTGAAAGCAAGTAATACATTAAAGACTTAATTATTTGCAGGTATTAGCTTACCTTATCTTGATTTACTAATGAATACACGTAGAGGGGAAGAAAGAGCCTATTAAGTAGGTGGTCTGTCAGCACATCATTTAAAAATTCACAATTAATGATAAGGATATCATTAAGGTAATGTAAATGATCAAGGTGTTCTGCCACCAGATCACTCAGTTTGCCTCTATTTCTGTGCCTGAAAAAGAGAGCAGGAAGAAAGTCTCAGATAAAATCAACTGTCAGTCTTAAAAATTTAAGGAAAGAATTAATGTACATCCCCTTCCAAAGATCACCTTGCACAGATCAACTGCCTAAAGACGATGTTTTCAGTAAAGTCAAACAGTATTCAGTCTTATATGTGCTTTATGATGCACATATCAAGTTTCTCCAAGTATTCAGAAGCAATGTTTTTACAAAACTTCTTTTTCCACTGCCAGAGTATTTTCACAAGGCAGCTATAAAAAATGGTAAGATTTGTTTCCAAAAATAAAAGAAGAAATCTATGTTGTGTATAATGTCTACCTCTTCACTTTATGAAGGCAAGAAACAGCCACCCATTCTAAAGTGGGGGTGGGAAGGTAAACCAAGAATAAACTGAATCAACAAAATATTTCTGTAGTTGATAGTGGAATATTTCACAGGAATTTCAGGTCTGCAGTTCTCATATTAAATAAAGTTCACCTTCCCAGTTCAAATTTTTTTCTGAGAATCTTTTTAAAAGTCTGTTCTACTGAGATGATATACAGAAAAGGAACATTAAAAAGATAAAGTTAGTAAGATTGAGAAGCACAAAATACCTTTTGTGTCTTCTGGATAGCTACTGAAATTAGCAGAATTTAAAAAAAGATGAAGAAAAATCATGTTGCCAAACACTAATTTACTTGTACGGATATTAGCACAGATAGGGCACACAGCACTAACCACTATTAATTCAAAGAATCACTAAAAAACTTTGCAAGAATGAAAAGCTTGAACTGTCCACAAGGGAATGTATTCAGAAACTAACTTAACTGGACTCCTACAGACAAAATAAGGAGAGGATCAACAACTGGAAAAAGCATGACCATTCAATACCCAGCATTTGTAAAAGCTTACTCTTCATCAGTCTGCACACAGTTATCCAGTTCGATCACGTGGCTTCCAATAAACCAAACGAGATTGGAGAAATAAGGGACAGCAGTTTTATCTCTAATGTAATGCAGCATAGGTTGGTTGTCCACTGAAGAGAAAGTGTCAAAAAGAAAAATCAGTTGCCAATTATTTTTCGTAGTAATTTTTAAGAAATACAACAAAGTATCTTCTGAATTTTGATTACATGCTAGCTTTTTATATGAGTATATGCCTAACATAATCTTATGCATGAAATGGACATCTACAAAAGTGTCATATCAATTCTTAAGTGGCTTGAATGAGCCTAATATTGATATATTTACATAGGTCTGAAGATAAACAAATTAGTGGAATTCAGAAAGGTTTTTTAGCACACTTTATTAAAAAGAAGAGAAAAAAGGTGTAAGAACAAAGCAGTAATACTGAAAGCCAAGCTAGGTAGACTTACATGACACTGCATTAAGGAACACAGGAATCATCAGTGAAGGAAGGGCAAAAGAAACAGACAACAGTTAACAGGATTAGGAACTGGGATAATGACATCCTCTAAAAGGGTTAAAAAAGCTAAAGCACAAAGCATCTAAACTGAAAGATACAGGGTAAGTGGTTAGACCAGAATATATGCAAATGGATAGTCAGAAAATTATGACACCTGAACATCTGAGCTGTGTTTTTTCAACTCTAACCTTTATATCACTACAACATTCAATGAAAATTCTAGACAAGTACATACCCTGCGTGAACATATTCCATAATACATACTACCTTACAACATGCTGATTTCAGAGGTAGAAGTTCTGAATACACACCAATTTTTCTACAGTGATCACTGATATTTTCAGTTTATTATAGATTTTATAGACCCCAAGATAAATTTAGGGGTGAAGTGACTTTTGGACGCTGTCTAGTCCAAACCCATTCTCAAAGTAGCACCAACTTCAAAGTTCAACCAGGTTGCTAAAGGCCTTGTTGAGTTTTGAAGATCTCAAACAATACGGATTCCTCAGTTTCTCTGGAAAACCTGTTGCAGTGCTTAAATATTCTCACAGTGAAGTTTTGGGTTTTTTCCTTATGTCCTACTGGAACATCCAGTACAGGAATTTGCGACTGCAGCCTCCTGGCCTTCACTGGGCATCTCTGGGAACGGTCTAGCTCTTCTTTAGACTGGAATGACTGCAGCACCTAGGAGCTCTACAATCAGATTCTAATGCACTTCAAATCCAAAAGGAAGCAATGTAGCCAGCAAGGTTACTGCTTAGTACATTATAAAGTTCAAGTTAATAAGTAAAAAATACTTATATTCTTAAAGCACTTTGTTTTGGGGGTTGGTTTCGTTGTTTGTTTTTTAAATACAGTCACAAGCTGATCTCTGTTGGAAGGGACTCTAAAGTTCCTTGTGTATACTTGATACTCTGTTGGGTTTTTTTAAAACAGTTTCATCTGTGAGGAAACAGTACTATCTACAAGTACATACTGTAGGTTTGGGGTTCTATTTCATAAAAACGAAAACGTGTATCTGAAGCATGTCAACATGCTAAGCTTTTCAATCTGGAGAAGAGAAGGCTCCGGGGAGATCTTATTGTGGCCTTCCAGTCCCTAAAGGGGGCCTACAGGAGAGCTGTGGAAGGACTTTTTACTAGGGCATGGAGTGATAGGACGAGGGGGAATGGCTATAAACTGGAAGAGGGCAGGTTTAGATCAAACATTAGGAAGAAGTTTTTCACTACGAGGGTGGTAAGGCACTGGAACAGGTTGCCCAGAGAGGCTGCTGAGGCCCCATCCCTGGAGGTGTTCAAGGCCAGGCTGGACGTGGCCTTGGGCAACCTGGGCTGGTGGGAGGTGTCCCTGTCTATGGCAGGGGGGTTGGAACTCGATGATCTTCAAGGTCCCTTCCAACCTAAACCATTCTATGATTCTATAAAAGAGAAAGAAAACCCTTAAATGTAAATAACTGAAAATTAAACTACAATGAAACCAGCATTTTGTACACATGCCTTTTTTAACATATAAAAAGCGTACCTTTGTAGACATTTAAAGTTATAGTCCTAACAGCAATCCTGACCATGCTTTCTGGGTGGTTAAAAAATTTAATAGCTTCAGTGTACAAAGCGAAGTCGTTAGTGTGCTGTAACAAGAGGAAAGAAAGTATTTATGAATTAGCAAAAACATGTACAGAGTTTTTACTGATATTTTTACCTTCTACTTAAGTAATAGAAATGATTTTACAATGCACGGTCAGCTGCATTTGTAGCTCTGCATTAAAATAAACTGCTTCAAGCATCAAAGCTTTCCATGTTAACTCTGCACCATACTCAGTGCTTTAATGCCCTCTTCTGGCAAAAAGTGGAATGGAGCGAGGAAAAACCCATTTCAACTTTGGCCTTTGATTACTCAGGCTTTTTAGACTTTGACTAAGCCTCTTAGAACCAAGTGGTGCAACAGAAAAGATCCTGTTTATAAAAGCACAAGAAAACAAGGCACAAACAAATTGAACTCTCAGGGAAGTAGACTTCAGAACTACTGAAACAGTCCAGAACAACACTAACTTCCAGATTTTGATTTTATTATAGTTGTATGAGGACAAAGACCTTTATCATACTTTTGTAGTGATCCTCACAAATGAATTCTGAATCACTGATATTACCATTATAAAAATAAATGCAGGACATGCTGAGACAAGAGATTAAATAGAATATGTGCCAAATTGCTATCAATTTCTAATTAAAGTCCTCTTATCTTTATACTGCAACTCTTTCTTTACTTACCTCATTATAAAAGAAATGTACAGTATGATTGTTGAGCTTCAGAGAAAGAGTTTTCAAAAATGATATGTAATATGCCATGATCTCCTCATCAGAAAAGTCAAATTTGTGGACAATAATAGAATTTACATAGTTATTAGACAGCAGGTAGTCTGAAAAATAAGACATTAAACAAATTAACAGAGAAAAAAAAAATATGCTAACTAGCTGTATTTAAAGTATCAGCTAGCAACAAACTACATGATGCTTGAAGAACCCAATTTTTAGCCAAACAACTCAAGTGATGGCTTCAAGCGGTAATATAAGGAAATTGTTCCCTACAGAGGTCTTTCCTCCCAGGAAGACAACTGAGAATACACTTCACCTTCCTCAATTTATGTAGGCTTTGCAGCTAATAAATAAGACTTAAAAAAACCACTCTCTTTTCCTCCCAAAGTCATAAACTCATATATGACAAAGTCATAAACTTGTAAATTACTTTGTCTTCGCGATAGTTCTGGAATACTTTAACTATTAATTCTCTATCCTCTTTATATGTTTCTAAAAACCTTGAAGTAAATGCAAGTGGCTGAATCCCAGCCCCAATGATGTCAGAACACTTCCAGTACAAATTAGACAACAAAGTTCCCCTGCACAATCTGCAGCAGCAAGGCAAACGTTTCAGACCACAACTATATTGCTGACTTAAAGAATCCCTTGAAATATGCAACAAAAGTGCTTCAGCAGTACCGAACAACTCCGTTGGTACTACTGAAAATTTAGATTATAAGGTATTTTGGAGTCAAATTACACTTTATTTTCAGTAGCGTTCCATTAAAAAGACTGTTAGGAACTCATATAGTTCTTCTGTGAAGGGGCACTAGGACTAAATTTCATTAAATGAAAGGGAATACAATCAAATCTTGATCACTTAATCCTAAACAGTTTAAAAGTGTGCCCTTACACAGTGATGTTTCATGACTGATGTTCTCAAAAAGGATGTTCAGAGTCTGCAGAAGCTGTACACACACATAACGACCAGACTTCTGACGCAAGATGTTCAAGAAGAAAACAAACATATTCTTCTCCAAGAAAAAGCTGAAATAAAATAGAGGTGTCAAAGTCAGTTGCTACATTTAACAGGAACATAATTTTACTGCGATCAGGGACGATTCTAGACAAGTTTGACAAACAACATGTTTTATACTTATGAAGAATTATTTGGCGAAGTTTGGTCTGTGTAACAGAAGAATATCTTCCAAGAACCTTAAATACTAACACGGGCACTTAAACATTCAAATTATGCAGAAAAGAGATGCCAAGAAATCAGGGCCTTTTTTATTTTATTTTTAGTGTATTCAATTTATCAGGCAGCTTCCCTACCTTGCAATCGTAATTTCGAAGGGGAGAGCCTCTAAAAGGTTATGGTTTGTTCACTTGCCCCTTTTAAGCTAACACACTTTTTGTCTTCAACACTGTAGACATTATTTTTGATCCACTTCATTTTTTTTCTGCACCAGAAGCAAGCACTTCATAGTTTATCGTAAAATTCAAACAGAATTGAATGCCTGAACTGTTTTTAAACCAGAAATGCGTTCAATTTAAAGAGAACAGTGTGGACTCTTTCCTACCAGGACATCACAAATACATATTTATGAATTTTTTTTACATTAACTCCAGAAAAAACTCCTCATTCCTAAAATTCTACCAAGCAGAGTAAGGAATGTGATGGAGTTACAATATAGATATGAATGATCAGAATAATTTTCTTAGTCAGCATCATAACCCAATCATGTTGAAATTGTCTTGTAAAAATAAAACCAACCACTCCCTAAACAAGTAATTGAAAATACCAAATGCCTTAAGCTTTACTCATCTCAATCACAAATTGCCTTTATAAAAGAGCAAGTGTCTTGAAGCAAACAGCCAAGCAATGGGCATTAATACATTCCGATTTGCAATTGTGAATGTTTGTTTTGAAGTTCATTTTTCTATCACTTTATTTTATGAGGATTAAAATAACATCTAAATAAAAACTCTAAATATCACAGCTAGAATATGCATTTGCAGTATCTTATATAAATTGAAGTGAACAAATTCAAGTCATATGATACTAATAGATATACAGAGTAAATGTGGGCTCTAAAGCAGGTTAGATTCTGTATTTATATCAAAGATTTGAGTCAAACAACAGTTGTACTTGAAATGGGCTCTGGACTTGGAACACTCTTTTTTGTTAACAGATGCAAATTCTGTTTCCTTGTATGACAAGAATATGATCTTGCTTACCTGTCTTTCTACCTACATTCATGAAATACAGTCTTGAAAGAGTTAACCTTTTGAACTAGATTTCTATGCAACTTTAATCATTCTTCAAAAACGAAACCAGAATCAAAATTGCTTCTAAGTACTTACTCAAATACTGAGCTGTCATTCTGATCCCCCCATATAAGGATCTCTGTTATAGAACGAATAGTCTCTACCAGCAGGTTGCGGTTGTGATCTGTTACTGTTGTATTTTTAGTCAAAACATGATACATGTACCTAAAAGAAAAAATAATTACAAGTAATAAGCCGTCCTGCCACTTTCACAAGCACTATGTTTGTAACAGTGTAGACACACACATACATACACATGCTCAGTCTAATGAGTGTACAGTTTAAAATCCTAAAATTTCCTTTTAATACTGATGCAGAGAGAAGAGTAATTGTTAAACAGGATATGTGACAAATGAAACAAATGCGTAACTAGCCAGGTGAGTTATAAATGCTTATGCATATGTTAACGTAGGACTAGAAATTATGTAACAGTTGTCCCATGGTGTTTCTTATGGTAATGTAGTGAATTTCTTTGGAAGTACGTTAAAGTCAAAGGAGTGATGAGCAAGAAGGAGAAATAGAAGCAGCAGGTAAGCATGCAGCAGCTGATACGGAAAAGTCTAATTCTGGCAAGAGACACATGCAGATGTAGAAAAGTTAGATCCCTTCTCTCTTGTCTGCAGAAACACTGTACAGACTTAGGTCAATTTGATGGTTAATAATCAGGGCTGTCAAAGACTATTCCTTCATCTTGGCAAAGCTTAATCATCAGGTCTCTGGCCCTTCAAGCATAGAAGTACTGATCAGAAAGGTAGCAAATTCCAGCTTTACCATCTCAAAGGGCAAGATTTTAAGGCTGTCTAGTGAAGCTTAAAAAAAAATATGTCCGTCTATATTACAACAGGTGCCAGGAAGCTAAATAAAATTTGAAAGGCTTGTATTATAAGTCTCAGAATTTTACTCAGTCAAGGAAGCATGTTTCTCTTCCCCCCCTTCTTTATTATATGGTAATAAAGAAAAAGGATGGATGCAAGAAAGTAATTAAATAAATTATGAAAGTAATTAAATAAAAAATATATTCAGAGAAATTTCATGTCATTTAAAACTGCAAGAGTTCAGATTACTAACCACAGATCATATATTGCTATACTGCACTCTGTTGAAATTCAAGAGTAACACCTGAGCATTCAGGATTATCTGAGCAATATATTCACAAGTGTTTGGGAAGGAAGACAGATTTTCCATACTATCAACCTTCCCATGAAAAATGGAGTTAATCAAAACTCCCAGGATCTGGTTTTGGGAAAACAGCCTGCCTGTCCCGATTTTGTGGCAGCCTATCATTATTGTTTTGGATTCCATGAAAGGTTATTCAGTGATTCAGGTAGAAATTTTAGTAATCTTATTAGTACAATGCAGGAGTTTAGAAGTCCAAGAAGACAATTTTTAAGACCCAAAGATCTCAAGCAGCTGTTATGTAAAAGATAAAGATACCAATTTTGCCAAGCTACTGTAGGGTTCCAGGAAACACTCTGTATTTCTAAAACAAAATTTTGGGTTTTCTCATTTAAAGTAAGCTTCAGAAGTTTAGATCAAAAACAGACTTAAAATCACATTTAAAAAAAAACTGTATTCCCATCAATTTTATCTATGCTAAGAAACTGAATCACTGCACAGGGCAAACATGCAGCTGGAGACTAAAATGCCATTTAACTGAGCACATATATCAGGCTGTTCCAACTATTTATCAGACTTACGAAGACAAAACAAGTTATTGCCAAGTTTCAGAACCTTTTCCATGCTTGAACTCAATTAAAAATAAAAAAGTTTGATCATATCTGCAGTTTACTTAAAATTTGCAAAATTTGGTTTGGAGAATCTTCTTCAACTGCTGAGCTGCCACTCAGTTGGCCAGAGCTTCACAGGACTTGTTGCAAGACACAGTCCATCCTCATAAGCCATGCAGGAAACAGAACCTACTTCAGTGAAGTTTATTATGCCGTTACGGTGAAATGCTATATGCTTGCTGATCTTCATATTGCTTAATCATCAAACAATGATTTTACTGTGTTGAATACCGCACAAGGACACCGAGAGATAAACAATTCTCAGAAGCTCACAGCTTTAACAAACCTGTATACCACATGCTCCCTTCCCTCCTCCCCAAAATCAGCAATATGATAAAAGCCCACATCGTATTAAGGTTAACATACTAAACAGCAGAGTAAAGAGGAAGAAAAAGAGAAGAGATAGCAGGAGGGGGAAAAAGATTGGCTTTTCATACTCTTTATCTTCAGTAAAAAATTTTCTCTCCCTCTTCACAATGTTTTTTCCCCTCATAAATCAGTACCAATTTTCCAAATCCAGAACAGAAACCTGCTCAGATTGAAACCATTCTAGGAAAAGTTGATTCATAGCTATCTCCTACAGTCATATCTGCCTGGTCACGTGCCGTACCATAATAGAAGTCGCTAAATAGCAAGTCAAAGAGCACCTGCAAATCCTCTTCAACTAATCTGCGGATCACAGTTCAAGATTCCTTCTACAGACACTGTCAGTGTGACGGCTCACAGTGGAGATGTAAGAGTTTAAGTCTGACCACCTGTGAGAACTCCTAGGGCTTTCTAAAAGAGCACATGGCACACAAGCCCTGCAAAACCTTCCCATTATGGTGCTATATGTATTATCAGAAAAGTGAATCAAAAACTAAGTCACTGCTCTGAGCATGAATGAGTTAATGGAACAGTGAACAGCTGAAGACAGGAGGCAATTAAATCAGAACAGTTCATTCCACAGCAATCTGTATAGTAAGTATTTTTCCTGAGTTAGTTTAAAGAAAGTAATTAATACTACTCTACTTCGCATACTTTAGCCTATTTATTTGAAGTCATATATAAATCATTGCATCTGTGAACATATATTTCTCATTAATATGTTACATTATGCAAGCTTGTGAATAAAGTTTACACCAACAGCAGAACTCGGAATTGGAAGCAGTTGGAAGAATGACATGCTATTACCTCACATCATGAGTCTAAGGAACATAGAGCATTACAGATGCAAAAAGCAAGAAACATTTAATTGTCAGGAACTAACATTAACTCCAAATTAATTTACTTAATATCAACATTACTGCAAATTTCCTTGATTTGCTAACACACCGATGCACTTACGAAAACCTGGGCTTCACTTTCAAGCTATTCCTTTATCCACTTACTTGAAAATGAATGAGAAAGCATGCACATACTTGTTTCTCTCACCAGAGATACAACATACCATATCATGAGAATATAAACTATCACACAAAACCCATACTTTTATATTTACATAAATTCTTAAAGCCTGTCTCTAAATGCTGATTACAAAGGGGTCAAGTTTGTGCTCCAAAATGCTAAACCCTCAGAGAGGAGGTTTTTGTCATCTCTGTCTCTCTATATCTGAAGACTGGGTTCAAACAAACAAAAACTTAACACGCACCCCCATGCAGGAAGTGTCCAAGCACCTGATACCATCAAAATCAATGGGAGATTTTGCCAGCAACATCACAAGACAAACAAAATTCTGAACATTTTTCTTGTAAGAAACCATGCTCAAAGGGATAACATAACAACTCATGAACATAGAAAGTGTGTATTAAATACTTTCCTATTTATTACTTACAAAAATAAACTAAAAAAGGTAAGAGTTTAGGAAGTCAAGCAGTCAAATCAAAAAACCCCAGACTTAACCATAACATGCTTGCTTCTTCATGCTGCCTGTAACTGTGTAATTATATATTGTTCTCATAGAGGAAACTATGTATAGCATGGACAGTACTTCAGGAAATGAATCAGCTGTGAAACAAGTCTTCAACTATACATGTTTATGGACACTGCATCTGACCAAGTCATGAGAAATGTTCAGCACCCAACTCTAATGGTACAAAACCTTTTATGCAATCAGTATGCAATTAAAATACCAATTGTAGAAGCAACAATGGGAAACATACTTGAAGGTAACAATAGGGCTATGTAAAATACCTCTTAGAAAAGTAGGAAAAGAATTTGCATCTAGAAATAATGATACTATGCTTAAGTTCCAAAACCTTACACTTTAGCAGGAACACCGGAGATATTATCAGATGAACTCTTCGAAATAGTTAAAATATCGCCACTTAAATACTGGGATAAATGACATAAATCCCCTTCATCCATTTCAATGCAAAGTCAAAGTTTGCAGACAGATGGGGAAAGAAGATACAGTTATCGTCTCAAGACGATCAGACCATGCATTTGCTAAAGTTAGACTATCCTCAACTGGGCAATATGAAAGACTTTTTTGTACTTTAACCATAGGTCGCAGCTCCTAAGGCGACGAGTTGCAGAAGCAGAGTACAGTAACTATCACAGTCAGTGGCTGGAGAGAACTGTAAGAAACCCCGACCCACACAAGAACGCCCAGCTTATGTGCAAAGGTTGGCCACAAGAGAAAGAGAAGAACACGGAGCTCGTGAAAAAGCACTGATTTCAAGTTTGTGTAGCAAGACAGACTGTTGTGTAAAACAACCTTGATGTATTTGCTTTTAGAACTGGAAGCAAATAATAAACAGAGCAGAAGACTAGGAAAAGAAGATCTTATTTTAAACTGCTGGATGCCACCTTTAAGAAGTGGATTCTGGCCTTATTTCGACAAGACGAAATCTCATGTAAAGATAAACAAGTCATTTAAGACCATTTTCACAAGCAATGACTAGCATTGTTCCTGTTTCCAGAAAACTTACACTTTCTCCATTTATTAACTTATTGTCATTCCCTCACCTACTAACCAAAGGGCACAAAAATACCAAGTTCTCTGAAAAGTAAGTCAGAAGCACTCAGGCAGTGCATAGTACTGTTTCACAGCCTCCCTAGATCAAAATTCAGCAATGTATTAGAAAGCTGGGTTAAATTCTAAGTGTTTTCACTATACCAAGAGACTGTATCAAAACACATAACACAAATAGCCTCACAATTTTCCTTTAGGCAACCCATTCTACGGCACATTTGCAAACAGACCAAATAGTAACATTTCAAAAACAAGCCTCAAACAAACTGCATTAATGCTGACAGGAAAGGAAGTTCCAGATCAAACATTTACTGTCAAAAAGTAGTAACTCCCTCAGTATTACTAAACAGGTGTATTGTTTACAATTTAGACTAAACTCTACATTATGCATGTTAAAAAATGAAAATATTCCCATAAGGATAGCCCAGGCTAATTTCACTCTTGTAACACAGCATAACATACATTTTATAGGCGAAGCTAACCTGTAATAGCAAGGTTGGTACATTCTACTCAACTCATTCATATGGAACACAACATGGGTTTTTGATGAGTTGAAAAGATGAGAATGCAGACAGATCACAAGATGGTGAGCTTACCACGACTGACCTTCTTTGATGAGCCTGAAACAAAGGTTCTCTGCCCTTTTTTCTTCTGTGGCTTTACCCACTTCAACTGCTACCTTAGAAGAGCCCTAAATTTCACTTTACCACTAGGTACTACTTTACCTTCGCTGTTGAGGTCTAGCTAATAACTGAAATTCATACAGCCTAGCTAAACAAACATTTAAAACACACAGTCTAAACAGATCAAGTCTTGGCTGTCTTTTACATACTACCATTTTAGATTTCATAATTAAAGAAATCACACGCAAAAAAGCAAACAAACAAGAGCTAGTATTTCAGCAGAGAACTCTATACTTCAATTTGCAGGTAAGAAGTCAAGCCCAAACCACAACACTCACAGCTGCTTACTTTTGCTGCAGCTCAAACAACATACCACTTTTTCCACCCTCTGTGGCTCCAAGAGAACAGATGATCATTTTTCTTGCCTGAAAGATTCTAACATTCCCAAAGCCTCCCTCTCACCAGTCTCCTTTTTCCAAATTTAAGCTCAATTTCTTCAAATTTCATCACGCATCAGCATTCTTGCTCTATCTTCAAGTGTAATATCAAAACCAGATAGATCTAAAGCTCCACTAGCGCTAAGTAGTACCCAATGATACTACTTGTATGTTAAATAGAACATTCCCGTGTTTATATCTGAGCATGACTTTTCCCCTTTTTCCTGCAATGCCAGATCATGTTGACTTACTAGTCTGACCTACCATGCTTTCCAAATTACTTTCTGCAGTGCTACTGCCTCATCAGTTTTGTATTTGTGGACTTGATTTCCCTGTCTTTGGTAAAGTCATGCACTTCAATTAGTCTTGCTGGTTTTGAACATTTTTCCAGTTTAGAGACAAGGACCAGAATCCACAAATCATCCTGATAAAACAATTGCAAGATCCAAATCTTGTATAAGTGCATCCTGCTCATTACTGTCAGATCTTTCTCATCCTCCTTGTAATTTGACTAATCGCTGAAAACTACCAGCTACTTATTTCTCAATAAGCTATGTATTCACAGCGATTTAATTTAGAAAATGCTTCCCCTCTTAATGATCTCCTTTTCTTGATCAGTAGAAAGAGAAGCTGTAACAGTGGACCTCATTTTTCTTGCCATACCAGAACCCTTAAAATGGAACAGAGAATTTAAAATTGTTTTATCCCTTGTCATCCTTCCAACTCTCCAGTGGCAGAACTAGAAAAAACTATTCTACTTTCTGCAGTCATCAGTAACGCAAGGATATCAGACTCCTGACACCAAGGTTACAATTCTCAAGCTCAACAGCTTTATTTTTGTGCCAGCTGCTGAGCCTTCTAACCAGGGTAGATCCCCTGGACTTGCAAACTCCCCCAACCATGAATCACTGGTGAGGAATAAGATCACACACACTTCAAAAGGTCTATACTGTTTATAAGCTGGGACCAGGCTCCTTGCTTCCCCGTCTTAGCCACTATCAGGAAAGAATCAAAGTTCTCCCTTAAGAGGAATGTGACATTTCTTGTATTTACCATCTCGTACACTCTACTCCACAGAACGAACCTGTGACACTATTAAAAATCAAACAAACACGTATTGCTGCCATGAGTGTGACATGACAACACGGAACTGCGTCTGCCCTGAAGACGTTTTGGGACGAAGAGGCAGAAACGGGACAGATTTCCGTGCGAAGGACACCAGCCCAGCCCGCACTGAGAGCCTCCGTCGCCGCTGACGAGTCGCTCCGGCAGCTTTCGCCTGGGGAGAGCTGCGCCGACGGGCTGAGGCGAGAAGGGAGCGGGCGGCTGGGGAGGGCCGCCGGCCGAGCCGCCTCCCCCCCCCACGCCCTCTCCCCCGGGACC